GTTTACACTTCCCTTCTGTAGGAGAGGTAATTCAAATTCTCTAATGTGAGAACACGGTGTTCATACTTCTTATCAATAATAAAACAGAATTCACACTTCCATGAGGTTGGAAAATGGTATTCACTATTTCTCAGAACAGTTCATATGAATGTCTTTTTCTCCACAGACAACAGAGCATCTGAAGTTACCTCCTGTGAACATGGAGCCTTTATTCTTCCCTCAAGATTGTAACTATCTTTATCTTTACACCAAATAATCACAGGTTGCTCCAACTTCCATCATTGAGTACACGGCATTAACAGTGACATCACAGGACAAAATGGCACTCAGCATTCCTTCATAAGTAAATAGAGCCTCCACCCTTTACTCTGCTAAAGAGAGAATACTCACCGTCTCTTCATATGAAAACATGATCTTCACCCTGTCACCATGTGTGGACATGTCATTCATCCTGCTGACACATCAAGTCAGGCTTCTTAACCATCCTTCAGGTGATGGGGGGAATTTCCTTTCTGTCAGTTGAGAACAGAGAGTTCACCCTTCCACCATGTTAGGGAAATGTGTTCATGCCTCCCTCCATTGAGCACAGGGCCATTCCCTCCCATAACATACAGATTGGCTAGTCACATGCCATTTCAACTAGATAACCACTTTCAAACATCCAACATGTGAGATGATAGAGTTCATGTCTCCATGCCTGAGGACAGGGCATTCATCCTTTGATCATGTGGCAAGATCTTCACCTTATTATGATGTGAGGACCCTGAATTCACACAGCTCTTGCATAACAACACATCCATCACCATTTTATCAGATGTGCAGGAGGTGCTCAAACTTTGATAAAAAGAGGACAGAGCATTCAGCCTGCTATTACACAAGGATTCTGCATTCTCTCATCCATCACCTTCATGAAATCTTCACATGAGGATTTTCCCTTCACCATATTCTCATATCATAACACAGCCTTCACCTTACTGCCAGATGAGAAGATAACATTCACCCTTCTGTACTTTGGTAGTGGCTGACAATCATATGGCCTGTCATGGACACATTGTTTATAATTTCTTTCATGAACATTCAAATTCTCTAACATAGTAATACAGTGTTTGTCCTTCAGTCCAGTGAAGAAACTTATTGCATTCTTCCATTAGGTGAAGAGATAGCATTCTGCTTCTCACATGAGAGGTCAAAATAACGTCCATCCAAAAGCAGAGAATGAGGCATTCAGCCTTCCCTCCAGTGAAGACAAACCATCTAATCTTCCATGAGGATTGCCAAGTACATTTACCATTCCATCATAAGCCATTCAACATAGGCCATTCAAAATTCAATCACGTGGGTATGGGGCATTAACATTACATCCACAAACAGCATTCACCATATCCCTCATAAGTGATTGTCATCCTCTCTTTCCTCTGGCGAGCACAGGACATCACCATCCCTTCACATGAAGACATGATCTTCACCCTGACCCCATGTGAGAACATGGCATTTGTCCTGATGACACATCAGATGAGGTTGCCCACCCTTCCTCAGGAGAGGATGCACATTCCCCTTCCTTCAGCTTACAACAGAACTCACTCTTCCACCATGTGAGGAAGATGTATTCATGCTTCCCTCAGTTGAAGATAACATTCCCTCTTCCATCAGGTGCAGAAAAACCATCCTCTTCCCCATGCAATGAAGACACCAAGTTCAAACATCCTACATGTGAGGTGATAGGGTTCTCCTCATCATAGCTGATGACAGGGCATTCATCTTTCCATCACATGACAACAAGGCCTTCACCCTTTTGTGATGTGAGGACTCTGCATTCACCCAGCCCTACCAATACAACACATCAGTCACCATTCCACCAGATGTGTAGAAGTTGACCAAACTTTGATTACAAGAGGACAACATGCGATTATATGAGGACTCTGCAGTCGGTCATAATGAAAGAACAGATCCTTAATATCTTCATACCAGGACATGCCCTTCACCATATTGTGACACTGTCACACAGCTTTCTCCCTTATTTCAGATGAGGTGTAGGCATTTAGCCCTCTTTAGTTGAGTACTGACTGAAAATTTCACAGTCTGTAGTGGCTGTTGTGTACACATTTCCAATTGTGAGGAGAGGGCATTAAAATTCTCTAATGAAGAATGTCCCTCTGCCTGGAGATGAAACACCACATGGTGAGGAGTTGGCATTCAATGTCTCACTGTCTTTCAAGCATTTGTATTTCCATCTGCAGAGGATGGCTTTCAGCCCTCTCTCCTGTGAAAACAGTCTTTATTCTTCCCTCAAGATTGTAAAGTCTAGTTATCTTCCACAAGATAAACACAGGGCATTCAAACTTCCAGCATTCGAGTACTGGGTATTAACACTACCATTAAAAGATGAAATGAATTTCACCCTTCCCTCATGAATGAGAAAATGGTCCTCCCTTTCCTCTGCTGATGTTAGGACATGCACCGTTCCTTCACAAGGAGATATGATCTTCACCCTATCACCATGTGAGGACTTGGCATTCATCCTACCAACAGATTAGACGAGGCTGCCCACCCTTCCTACTGGTGAGGGAGGACATTCCCCTCCACCAGCTGAGTACACAGAGTTCACCTTTTCATCATGTGAGAAAACTCTATTCATGCTTCTATCATTTGAGGGCAGGACATACACTCATTCATCCGGAGCTCTCATGAAATCACTCTTCCATTTGATGAGGACACAGCTTTTTCCTTATTTTCCTGTGAGGGCATGGGGCCACCTCTCCATGACTGAGGATAAGGCATTCACCACTTTAGCCCACTACGACACAACACTCATCCTATCACCGATTATATTCATCCAATACTCACCTGATTATACTTCTTTCTCTTAAACACAAGGCTTTCAATCGTGCAACCTTGCATCAGGAAAAAGGCAAAGCATTCACTCTACTATTATCTGAAGTCTTACCTACACCATTTCATCACATCATGATTTACACCTTCACCCTATCTTCAAGTGAAGATGTTGCATTCACCTTACACACACCTTTAGGACATCACCTTCAAACTTCCCTGAGGTTAGGAGAAGGTTTTGGCCTTCAGTCAGGAGAGTACCAGGTGATAATTCTTCATACACTAGATGGTAGACTGTTGACATTTTTCATGGTGAAGGGTGGGTATTTAACCTTCCAGAAAGTGATAATTTGGTGTCTGCCATTCTGTCTGGTAGAGACATAGCTTTCCCCATTGCTTTAGGTGAGAAGTTGTTCATCCCACATTGTGAACAGATCAACCCTTTCAACAGAAGAGACTAGGACATTCCCATTACCTCAGCTGAAGAAAAGCCATTCACCATTATTTCAGGTAAAGGCACGGCCTTCACATATTCACCAAGTGAGAACACAACTTTCACCCTTCTGGCATATGAAATGAAGCTGCCCCCCTTCCATCAGATGTGGGGAAGATACTTCCCTTCCCTCAGAAAGTACACAGAATTCACCCTTCTATCAGGTGAGACAACTGCATTCACTTTGTATCAGGTGATGACAGGACTTTCACTATTCCATCATTTTTGGACAGAGTTATTACACTCCCATTCCATGGCTCACAGTTTCAAACTTCTATCATTTCCAGGCACAGGAGTCACCTTTTGGCATTGGGACAGGGCATCCACTCTTCCATCATATGACAACATGGTCTCCACCCTAAGGTAAATGTTTGCAATGTGTTTTCAGATGAAATTCACATAATGATACATCCTTCATCTTTTCATCATGCTAGCAAAGGGATTCAATGTTCTTCAGGAGAGGACAAGGTGTTTACCTTAACTTCACTTGTGGACACCTCATTCAGCCTTCCCTTATGTAAGCCAAGATCTTCACCTTATTTTCACATTAGAACAAGGCATTCACCCTTAAAACATTTTGCAGAGAATGACCTCAGCCTTCTGTCAATAAGCACTAGGTAGAAATCCTTCACTGACTAGACTCAGGATGCTCATGCTTCCATGGGTAAGGGAAGGGCATTCAGACTTATGTGAGAACATGGTGGCTGCCCTTCTGTCCAGTGAGGACACAGACTTCACTATTCCTTAGGTGAGGAGATGGTGCTCATCTTCCCACATGTGGGTACATGTGATCCCTCTTCCATCCACAGGGAATAGGGCATTTATCTTTCTATCTCATGAGGACAAAGACTTACTCTTCCTCTCGGCATCTGAAAGCACATGGACCATTCCAGCAGATGAATCAGGGCACTCACCTTACATCATACGAAGATACCATATTAATCACACCATCATGAGATGCAATGGCATCAACTTCTTTCACATATGAACATAACATCACCTTTCCCTCAGGTGAGGACAGCCATTCACAGCATCCCTTCAGGTGAAGACACAGCTTCCAACCTCTCATCATGTGAGAACATGGTTTCCTTCTGCTGAAACATGAGATGAGGGTGTCCACCCTCCCCTGCAGATGAGGAGATGACATTTCCCCTTCCAACAGCAAACTCTGTAGAATTCACCCTCCATCAGGTTAGGAAACTCTATTCATGCTTGCACCAGGTGAAGATAGGACACTTGCACTTCTATCAGATGTAGAGAGGGCATGCACCTGCCCATTTGGTCAGGTCACAACATTGAACTAATGGAATCAGGAGGCTCGAGGTTCACCTCTCCATGCCTGAGAAGAAGGTATTCACTGTTCCATCACTTGACAGCATGGCCTTCACCCCACCATCATGTAAGGACCCTGCATTCCCCAGACACTCACATGACAACACATCCCTCAACCTTCCATTAAGTGAGAACAGACTCTCAACCCTCCATCAGGAAAGGGCTGGGCATTCACCCAACCATGATTGAGGACCCCACATTCACCCTTCTATCACAGAGGACAGAAACTTTCCCCTATCTTCATGTGAAGAGATGGAATTCACCTTTCTTCAATGTAAAGAAGAGAAGGCAGTCAGCCTCCCATCATGTGAGTACTGGGTCCTAGTCTTTTAGTCAATATGGAATAGTATGTTCACACATCCCTTAGTGAGAAGAGGGCATTTAAAACTCTGTATGGTGAGATCATGCTGTTTGCCTTTCTGTCCAATGAGAACAAAGACTCCATCCTTCCTTAAGTTGAAGAGCAGGTATGCACATTCTCACAGAAGTGACCACGTGATTACTTTTCCATCAGCACAGAATAGGGCATTTGTGATGACAGAGACTGAGTCTTTCCTCAGGCTTAGGAAGAGCGCTCAAAGTTCCACCCAATGAAGATGTGGCATTCACCCTTCTATCATGTGAGAACAAGACTTGAACCCTACCAACTTGCGAGGAAGTGACATCTACACTTACGTCATGCGAGTGCTTGGCATCATCCATACTCTCTGCTGAGGACAGGACATTCCCCCTACCTACAGGGTTTCATCATGAAAGGACATGGCTTTCATCCCATGGACTCATGAGAAGAGGGTGTCCACCCTTCCCTTGGGTGAGGAAAGGATGTTTCCCCTTCTATCAACAGAACACAACCCCCCCTTCCATCAGGTGAGGACAGGACCTTCATTTTCCAATTAATGAGAACACTGGATGCAGACTTCTGTGAGGGCACATGGCTCACATCTCCATGATGATGCAGCCTTCACCCTAACATCATGTGAGGATCCTGCATTCACAACACTCACATGATGATACTTCCTTCATGTTCTATCAGATGGACATAGAGCATTCAACCTTCTATCAGGAAAAGACAGGGCATTCATCCTACCATCAATTGAGGGATACCACATTCACCCTCACTTCAACTCCAGGACAGGATCTCAAAATGTCTTCATGTGAAGACATAGCATTCGCCTTACTCTCATGTAAGGGCACAGCTTTCCCCCACTGTCAATAAGGAGAAGGAATTTGGCTGTCTTCAGCTGAGTACTGGGTGACAATTCCTCAGTCTGTACTGGACAATGTGTGTTCACATTTCCCTTTTTTGAGGATAGGGTATTCAAATTCCATAAGCTGACAGGACAGTGTTCGCCCTTCTGTTCAGTGATGACACAGATTTCAACGGTCTCTTAGTCAAGGATGTGGCATTCACTATCTCACAGGACAGTTCAAGTGAGGGCCTTTCAATCTGTAGGGAATGGGTGGGGGGGATAATTCAGCCTTCTCTCCAGTGAAGGCAGCACCTTTACTCTACTCTCATGATTGTAAAGTCTGTTTACCATTCCACCAGACAAACACATGCCATTCAAACTTCCATTATCTGAGTACAGAGCATTAGCAGCACTTTCACAGGAAAAAATGGCCCTCACTCTTCCCTTACATGTGAAGAAGCCATCCCCTCTTCCCTATCTTGAGGTGAGAAGGGGGCATGTTTGCTTCCATCAGCCAAGTACACAGAATTCACCCTCCCATCAGGAGAGTAAATGACATTCACACTTCTGACAATGAGGATTTGACCTTCTCTCCAATCATTTCTGCACACGGCATTTAACTCCCCGTTCAATGAGGACACAGCATTCAAAATCCCATCATGTGAAGGCATGGGATCCACCTTAGCATCACTAAATTCACACAATTTTTTCTACCATCACCTGAGGATTTGACATTCACGTCTCATCAGGTGATGTAGGGAATTCACTCCATCTTCACATATGGACACAGCATTCCTGTTAGTACTGCATTTGGACATGGCCTTCACCACTCCATCAGCTAAGAAGGTTCTCATTATCCCTCACAAAAGCATGAAATGATTATCCTTGCATCAGTAGAGAATAGTGCAGTCACCATTCTATCCAATGAAATCAGGACATTCACTCTCCCTTCATGTGAAGGCAGAATGTTAATACTACTGTTAGTTGAGGAAATGGCATTCACCTACCAAATAAGGAAGCTGCATTCTTTTCCCTGAAAGAGCTGAGGGGGAAGGGTCCTGAGAAGTAGTCCTCTGCCCAGGGGATGGGATGAGGCTGGGACCCCTCAGCCACTTTCCCCCAGTGAGGGTCCCTACCATAGACCCATATTGTGGCAATGCCTGAGAACTGCCTGGTACAACCAGGGACACCTGGCTTCAGTCCCTCCTAACACCCACACCCATTGGAGGGTCTACCTTCACTACCTGCTCTCCTATACCATGGCCATTAACCCACCGCCCCCAACCTCACCGTTCTCCACAGTGACTGTGTCTCCTGCACCATGACCCTTCTTCATCCCAGGTCTTCTCAGCACCTCAAGCCCAGCATCCTGCAAGGGTCCTGACACCTAACTCATCCATGTTTCAAGCTATGCTGCTGACACGTGGTCCTGAACAACCCCAAGACACCATCCTACCTGTATGTCTGAGCCACCTCCCCAGGTCTCTTTCCTATAGCTGTCCTGGGACAATGTTGGGGACAGACCCCAGGCCTGACTCCTCCAGAGCAGGCCACAATTCTCCTCCGAGCACAGAGACAGGGGCAGGTTGCCCCATGCTACAAACCCTTCCTGTGCTGGTCTTCCTTGTTGTGTCCCCATAGAGAGGTTCCATACAAGTGGCCTCCCCTAGCTGCCCCTCATGTTCTTCCTCTAGATGCTGCAAGTCTGCTTCCATGCCCCCACTGAACTGTTGGAAACCACATGACTGAGGACCCAGACTCCTGCCCCATGTCCAGTTCTATTCTGGTCCACTCTCCCGAGTGGCTTACTAGGCCATTTATCATTGACCCAACACAGACCTGAGCCTGGAATGTGTTGGGCTGGCCACAAGGCCCAGACCCTAGGCAGAAATGTCCTGTATCAAGAAAGGAGTTTCTGCAAACAGAACTTACCCTGAGATGAGCTGGCGCAGATCCCCAGACTCACTGCCAATAGGTATGTGGGGGGGAGGCTTGTCGTCTTCCCAGGGAGTCACCAGCAGCCCTGCTTGCCATTCCTGCAGTTCACAGAAGACCTGCGTTACAGGCCAGAGCCCCAAGGTACAGAACAGGACAGCCCTGCCCTCTCCTGCACACTGATGGAGCCCAGAGTCTGTGAATGAGGGCCCACTAGGTGAGGACGACCCTCATCTCCTCCAGGAGCTGCCTGTCTGTGCCCACTGATCGCTGGTAACAGCCACTGCTCACTCTGAGGTCACCAGTGTCCCAAGGACCCCCACATTCCCAGCTGCAAGACTGAAGTCCAAACCTCTCACAGTGCAGTGCTGAGAGTCACAGGGTGGCTTCCCCATGCCCTGTTCCTCAGCTCACAGTGCACGACAACTGCACAGTGAGACCAGTGGCACCCAATATCCAGAGGGCAGGAAGTGGTCTACTCCAGAGGACATGGGCATATATGGGCCACGCGGGTCAGTTGCACTTCGCAAAAGCCTATGTCTGGAATCCATCTACTTTTGCCCAGGGCACCTCTGGTCTAGAAAACCAACACAGGCCAGTTCCTCATCAGACACTGCTGTCCTCTAACTGCCAGGGGACAGGCAGGGTGGTACTTGGTGATGGTGACACCATGAGTCTAGAGCCATGTCACAATGCCACCCTGCCAGCTCAGCAGCATGGGGTCAGACTGCTCAAGCCCCTGCATTTTCTGATTTTCACAGAGGTGGGTTCAGAGATCTCCCCAGGATCAGGTGAGCAATGAAGCTCTATAGCAGGTAGATCAGGAACCCAGGCATGCCTGCGCCCACTGTTCCCTGCATGACAAGGTCCCGAGATTTGGCAGCCCTACAGTTCTTCCTCCTATGACTCCTCTACAATCATACACATATACATATATGTTTATCTTTAAAGGCCTTTTCCTTCTTAATAAATGTGCTTCTTTCCAGGGTCTTTCTAGTGTCTGTGACCTGAACACTGCCTGACATAGATAGCATCCCTATTAGTAACAACAAATTAAAAAATCTACAAAGCCCCCAACACTCTGCTGTGGGTCTGCATGGCATTTTAGGCAATAAAGATGTCCTCCAAAGTGGTTAGGGGCCCGGTGTCCAAGAGCAAGAAGACTTGCTGATCTGTCAGGCAGGCTACACACCAGCATGAGACAGGAGAGGGTGTGCCCAGGGTGAACTCCAATGTTGGACCCTCTGTTTTCAAGGGAGTTGAAGAAGTGGCACCAGGACAACAGACAAAACCCTTTAGGGGCTGGTGGCCTCCAACAACCTTGGGACAGGGGCACCAAAACAGAGTAGAGCTCCTCTGTCCCTTGTTACCTTCCCTGCTCTGAGCACTTGCTCCCGAGTGTGCTGAAATCATCTGATACCCACAGGGTGGCAACAGTGAGTGCAGTGTCTGTAACCACCTGATGGTACGTCACTGTCCACACTGGCAGACATCAGGAGAGAGCTCTGCAATCCCTTGTGTCCCAGCAAAGAGGTCAGAGGAGGCTGGGCAGGGCCCAGGAAACAGAGCCTGGGATTCCACCTACTCTCATCTTGCAATGCAACGCACACACCCAGAAATGATCCTTAACCAATCAATACATGGGCACCCACCATCAGGTCGACTCCCAGAATGAAACATCACAGTCATACCCCTGTCAACTTGGCCCCCATGTGCATCTGCTAAAACCATGTACCCTCTCCAAAGAAAGGCAGTGGCCAGCCATGCTCACTGCTCCTGCTCTACTGGTGTGCAACAAAGTTATGCTGACCCTCCACCCTGGAGGTGAAGGCCATGGGTGATATCCACTCTTCTCAAACATACTGAACCTCCTACTATGGTGCATGGCAAGCAAAGCTCAAAGATCATGACATAAAGCCACAGTCTAAATCTAAGCCCAGTCCTGAAGACAAGGTCTTCTTCCCCTTGATTTTCATGGAGCTCACTGGTTATTCACATAAACATTTCTGCTCACCTTTTATTGTGTCTAATATAGGCAATCATGTTGGCAGCACCATTACTACACAACCTTCAGTTCCTGCACACAATAGCTACTATGACACCTGTGTAGACAGGAGTGTCTCACCTCTTGGTGGCACAGACTTTTCTATTCCTGCATCTACCTGGGATCTCAAGGAACATTCCCACATTGGGAATTCAAAAGTTGCTGTTCCAACCCTGAAAGAAAATAAGGATTTTGAAGTGACCCTGACCCCTGAAGAAGGGCCAGCTCTTCCATGGTCACCTGTCCTGTCTTGGTGTCACATGGGGAAGGCATGCTGGGCGCTCCCCCATATTTGGGAGCAGAAGAGAACATGCCTTAGTCTTGACCTTTCCAGCAGGACTGGGCTGTCCCAATGCTGCTCCTGCTCAGCCCCAAGCACAGCACATTCAGGACTCAGCGCTCAGGAACCCCCAACCCTAGGATGTCAGCCCCAAAAATGGATCCAGGGTTCAGGTGGAACAGATATAATTCCCTGGCTCCTGAGCCATCAATTTAACCTGAATATTTACCTGAAACCATATCATAAAACACATCCAAAATGGACAGTTAATAACCTTAAATGACAATATCAAACACTTCATAAAATGCTGAAAAACATGGTGACAGAAAATGTGTAGGTCTGACAACAGAGGCAGAAAATATAAAAGGTTACTTTATGGTATACACAAGGTTGAAACTTTTGAGTAAGATTTAACATAAAAAAAACTAGGCCTGTGCCATGGCTCACTAGGCTAATCCTCTGCCTGCGGCGCTGGAACTCCAGATTCTAGTCCCTGTTAGGGCACCAGTTCTGTCCCGGTTGCTTCTCTTCCAGTCCAGCTCTCTGCTATGCCCTGGGAAGGCAGTGGAGGATGGCTCAAGTGCTTGGGCCCTGCATCCACATGGGAGACCAGGAGAAGCACCTGGCTCCTGGCTTTGGATTGGAATGGTGCACTGGCAGTAGTGGCCATTTTGGGGGTGAACCAATGGAAGGAAGACCTCTCTCTGTCTCTCTAACTCTGCCTGTCAAAAAAAGAAACATAAAAAAAACTAAAGGACAAATAATAAAAACAGGGCTAATAATCACAACCTGTATGACAAAAGTTCAGCATTCTTGTCTAGGTTATTCTGAAGGTGGCTGTGGGAATGAAAAGCTACCTCCTTCATTAACCCTTGCCCAAGTGATGTAATTCAACCCAGCACCTTCCCTCAAGTCCAGGCACCTACAACCATCAGAAGCCTAACCTATTGCATTCCCCTTAAAAAAGAAGTGGCTTCCTTGTGTCCCACAGAATCTCCTTCCTTGGAATGAATGCACACCATGTACTGAGAAAGATACTCCAGAGTATTAGCTGTGGTTATCTCGAGGCTGGAGGAGTATATGTTCTTTCTTGTATTTCTTAAGTTGAACAGAATTTTCTTCAGGAAATAAGAGGAAGGATGGTTATTAGCCCACATTCTTTTTTGTTTTATTTCAAGATTTGTCTTTGTTTATTTGAAAGGCAGGGTTAAAGAGAAGGAGAGAGAGCAGGGGAGAGAGAGAGAGAGAGAGAGAGAGAGAGGCAGAGAGAGAAGAGAAGAGAAGAGAAGAGAAGAGAAGAGAAGAGAAGAGGAGAGAAGAGGAGAGAAGAGGAGAGGGGAGGAGAGAAGAAGAGAGAAGAGAAAAGAGAAGAGGAATCTTCATATACTGGTTCACTCCCCCAAATGACCACAACGGCCAGGGCTGGGGCTGACTGGAATCAGGAGCCAGAAGCTTCTTCCAGGTCTCCCCACATGTAGCAGGGGCCCAAGTATTGGGCCACCATTGGCTGCTTTCCCAGGTGCATTAGCAGGGAGCTGGAGCAGAGGTAGAGCAGCAGGAACTCAAACCCAGCATCTATATTGGATATTGACACTGCAGACAGAGACTTAACCTGTTGCACCACAGTGACAGCCCACAGCCCAAGTTCTTAACTGTACATAATACAAATCAGTTCTCACTTATAAAGAGATGATGGATTTATTTAAATTATATGGGCCTGGAGAAGCCACCTCCTGCCAAGATACCACCTGCTGCTTGAACCCTGTCTTGACTCCCCTTCCCAAAGACAAGCCATTTCAGCAAGAAGCAGCCAAAGCAATCAGGTAATGGAAGCAGCCCCAGAGGTCATGCCCATCTGTCCCAAGCTGTGTGCCCAGAGATGCACTCTTCACTCTAAGAAGCAGCTGCTGTTTTAGGGACCCTGGGCAACAGTTGCCAGTGTCAGGACCAGGAGCATCTGCCCTTCTCCCTGGGGGCCAGGCCTCAGGGCCACATCAGTCTTTTCCTTCCCTGGCTACGTGGGGTAGCGATGGGGTCTCACCAGGTGAAATTGCCTACAGGCACCACTTTAATGAAGCTGTCACTGTATATATGTAGCCTATGAGAAAGCCACTTGATGATGCACGGAGCTATTATAACACAACTCACTCTTATAGGAGCTGCTCACATATGGAACAATCACACCTTTCATGGCTTGTTTACTGTTTAAAACATGTGCCTTTCTCCATCTCTGCTGTGCTCTGTGTGAGTAAAGAAATACCCTCTGCACCATGGCTCAGGCTCAGATACCTGAAAACCCAGAAGCCCTGTCCTTGAATGGCCCCTAAGTGCTCAATAACCTTTCACGTAATCTAAAATCCGCCTGACACAGCTTTTTGCTGAATTAAAAGTTGATAAATTTTTGGATTAAATGTTAATCCTCCTGTGTGGCAGGGCAAGAGAGGCTCCAAATTACAAGGAGGGCAATAACCTCTCTAAAATCCTCCTAGATTTAGAATATTTCAGGATGGGTCCCATTAAAAAAATTGAGGGGACAGTGCTGTGGTGTGGCAGGCAAAGCTAATGCCTACAGTGCCAGCATCTCATGTGAGCATCGATTCTAGTCCTGGCTGCTCCACTTCCCATGCAGCTGTCTGCTATGGCCTGGGAAAACAGTAGAAGAGGGCCCAAGTCCTTGGACCCCTGCACCCTTGTGGGAAACCCAGAAGAAGCTCTTGGCTCCTGGCTTCAGAACGGTGTAGCTACAGCCACTGTGGCCAGCTGGGGAGTGTACTAGA